CCCGAGGATCATGCCCTTGGCCAGGGAGCGGAGATGGAGTCCCCGTTGTAGTACTCTGTTGAGGTGCTCCACCACCTGGACGCCACACACTCTCTCGAGGCACCTTGGCATAGAGATGGGGCGCTTGACTTTGAACTTCGTGAAGGTCTCGGAGCTGCTCCGGCGAGAACAAAGGAGTCGTCGGTGGTCCTAGGCTCGTCGGCCTTCCCACTGGTCCTTGAAGCTCCCCTTGGTCTCCGTCTTCTAGAGCCAGTTGCTGCCAGTTGCTCCTCTCCTTCTTCATTTCCTTCTCCATCGGCCAGCGCCGCAGCCTCCAGCGGCCTCCACAGCTGCATCGCCGCCATCCACCGCGCTGCCAGAGGCCTGTCGCCGCCGCCGTGCCATCATACAGCGCCGGGTGCCTGGGGCTGCCCCTTCACACCTGGGGTCTTACACCTCGACGTTGGGCTCATAACCTGCTCGTGCCCTCGCACCTGTTTTTCGCTTTGGCTTACAAACGGCTTCATGGTTGGTTCTCATGTAGTGCATGTTTCTGTTCTCTGCAGAGAACTGGCGACTTTGTAGTACAACTTTAGTACGCAGAGTATCTGGGGAGCTGGAAGATGAGAACTGGCGACTTTGTAGTACAACTTTAGTACGCGGAGTATCTGGGGAGCTGGAAGATGAGAACTGGTGACTTGGTAGTACAACTTTAGTACGCGGAGTATCTGGGGAGCTGGAAGATGAGAACTGGCGACTTGGTAGTACAACTGTAGTAGGCGGAGTATCTGGGGAGCTGGAAGATGAGAACTGGCGACTTGGTAGTACAACTTTAGTACGCGGAGTATCTGGGGACGGCCAGATGAGAACTGACGACTCTGTAGTACAACCTTAGCACACTCAGTATCTGGGGAGCTGGAAGACGAGAAGTGGCGACTTTGTAGTGCAACTCTAGACTCTAGGACGCGGAGTAGCTGGGGAGCTGGAAGATGAGACCTGGCGACTCTGTAGTACAACTGGAGTACGCGGAGTCGCGGAGTATCTGAGGAGCTGGAAGAGGAGAACTGGCGACTTGGTAGTACAACTACTCGAGTACGCGAAGAGAAGCGCTGTGTGCTTTACTATTTCCCTTTACCAGCAGCTCAAATGCTCTCGAAGATGAGCTGAGCTGTCACCGCTTGGCCGCCGGTGGGGGGTTTGGGAGGCCTGCGAGCTACTTCATTCACTATAGTCACTATATCTACAGTGAAGACCTTCACCAGCAGCAGACATAGACACACACAGACAGGGACTCATACACACACATCACACACACACAGAGACCCACGCACTGCCTCAACTTACTCGGACACACACACTTCGAACTTGGATTTTCAGTTAATGCAAATATCACGTTGGG